GGAATGAAACGTACAAACATGCATGCACATACTGGGACTCGACAGCGCTGTGAGACGAGGTCGCACGAGCAGGACGCACACCCTTCGAGTGTACGTGCGTACCTACGCACTATGGTGCGGCCCCCCTCTGCCCCCATCCTCCCCCAAGCATGGGCAGCGAGAGTCATCGCGGATGGGAAATTGGACACCGTCGTCGGCGCGCACAACGCGCCCACGGCGGCAAAGGAAGCGCCGCTGGGGGCCCAGCGCTGATCCAAGAAATCCGCGCACAGCTCCGACAGTTGATGTTTCTGTTGCGGATTATTCTTGTCATGGCTCTTATTTGTAACGTTGTCAATCTCGTGATGGTTCTGATGATTGAAAACACGGGGTGCGCGCGATTAAAGAATTGGTCCCTGCTCGGGCGGTTCGTGTGTGTGGGGGGAGCGCTCGCCAAACAGAAACACACGGCGGCGGCGCCGGTGATTTAGCGCCGACGCCCCGCCGCCAGCGAGTTGGCGACAGGCGCGACGCAAGCAACGCCGCTCCAGCGACCCCGCTGTAGCGGGGCGCTGGCTGCAGACAGCAGAAAAAAGGAGGCGGGGGGAAGAGGCGCCTCAGCTGGCGGGCGGTGCCAGCATGACTGCAAACAAAAACGGGAAGAGAGGGGATGAGCGGCAGAGGCAGGCGGAAAGGGCTTCTCCTTCTTCTCCAACCCCCCCTCCTCTACAATATGTCCTACGACGACGACGACGACGTCGACGGCGACGGCAACGGCGGGCAACGGCGGGCAACGACAAACTGCGGATGCTCCATGGAGGGGGGTTGGTGTGCTGCGCATGCCCGCTGTAATCATTCGCCGACTACGACGATGACGATGACGATGACGACAACGACGACGACGAAGACGATGACCACGACAACGACCACGCCCACGACCACGACGACGACGACACATTTCGGATGCTCTATGGGGGGGGACCGCTCTCGTCGTCGACGACGACGACCATGACGACGACGACCATGACGGCACACTTCGGATGCCCCGTGGGAGGGGTGCTGTGTAGGCCTGCTGCCAATGACGACGACGACGCCGACGACGACGACAACGACACCCACTCACTGCGAATGCCCCGCAGCGGGGTGTGTTGGGTAGGCCCGCTGCACTTGACGACGACGACGACAAAATTAACAACAACAACAACAACAACAACAACAACAACAACAACAACAACGACGACGACGACGACGACGACGACGACGACGACGACCACGACGATGACGACCACGACGACGACGACGACGACGAGGATGACCACAGACGACGACTTACGACGACTGACTGACTGATTGACTGGCTGACTGACTGGCGGACGGACGGACGCACAAGGACGACGACGACGACGACGACGACGACTGTGGCACGTCAGCAATCAGCATGAAAGGGGGACACACTTCGTTTTGGATGTATACGATCCCTACCAGTACTTCTATACGCAAAACAGTCGTTTTGAGGCAGCCGTGCAGGGGGTTACACGATCCCCTCGGCAGCGCCCGCGACGACCCCCTGGTACGCGTGATTTAAAAAAATGTTCGCGCCCAGCGAACTCTATTCATCAGCCAAGGGAGAAGCATCAATTACTAATCACAAGCTGGCATGATTCATAGTAGTACCAATTGTAGTGTCCTTATTCTCGTTACCAATATTAGTATCACTACCACGGTCATTAGCCTTGCACATACTTAGAATTATGAATAATCGGATGTTGGGGGGTGAGATCGCAGTGAAACGGAGACCCCCCACCGGAAAATCGGTTTCGGTTTCGTGTTCGTGTCGCGCGTGCGGGCGAGGCGAAGCTGCGCGTGATCCTCCTGTAGCTAGGCCGAAGTAGGAGCGAAAGTCGGGGTGCCCAGCAGCCAATGGCTGGGACTGGGCCCGCGGTGTCCCGCCGGTGTCCCGTGGTGTCCCGTGGTGTCCCGTGGTGTCCCGTCCGCAGGTGGCTGGGACTGGGCCCGCGGTGTCCCGGCGGTGTCCCGTGGTGTCCCGTGGTGGCCCGTGGTGTCCCGTTGGGTGAGATCGATCGTGAGATCGATAGTGAGATCGATGTGGTGCCCCGAGGTGTCCCGTGATGTCCCGTGGTGTCCCGTTGATTGAGATCGATACTGAGATCGATAGTGAGATCGACAGGTGTCCCGTGGTGACCCGTGGTGTCCCGTTGAGTGAGAACGATAATGAGATCGATGTGGTGCCCCGAGGTGTCCCGTGGTGTCCCGTGGTGTCCCGCGGAGTGAGATCGATAGTGAGATCGATAGTGAGATCGACAGGTGTCCCGAGGTGTCCCGTGGTGTCCCGTTGAGTGAGATCGATAGTGAGATCGATGTGTTGTCCCGCGGTGTCCCGACGGTGTCCCGTGGTGTCCCGTGGTGGCCCTTGGTGTCCCGTTGGGTGAGATCGATCGTGAGATCGATAGTGAGATCGACAGGTGTCCCGAGGTGTCCCGTGGTGTCCCGTTGAGTGAGATCGATAGTGAGATCGATGTGTTGTCCCGCGGAGTCCCGTGGTGTCCCGTGGTGGCCCGTGGTGTCCCGTGGTGTCCCGTTGAGTGAGATCGACAATGAGATCGATAGTGAGATCGACCAGTGACCCGTGGTGTCCCGTGGTGTCCCGTGTCCCGTTGAGTGAGATCGATAGCGAGATCGATCGAGACAGATGTTGGCTCCCCCCCCTCCCCCCCCACAACCTACGTATCACCCGAAGGGTGGTCGTATAGGTAGCATTATGTTGCTGCTCCTTCTTTGTTCGAACCAGGGATGTGGGCGACAGGGGAGAGGAGGGCAAGAAGAGGGCTGGGAGATGAGAGGCAAGAGAACTGGGGAGGAGACGGGGGGCAGGAGGGGAGGCGGGCGAGGGAGCGGCCGCTGCGGCCTCCAAGACGGCCCTCCCGCGGCAAGGCCGCTCCGATATCGCCCAGAAGCGCCCCCAAGTGCACAGTGGAGGCCAGCCCACGAGAAACCTTCCACGAGAAACCCAACCCAGAGACCCCAGGACGTCCGTCGGTGTGTGGCATGGGAACGTCACGCTCGGAACCCTCGAAATCCAAGGGAAAAGAAGGGCACCCTGGAGGCAAGCAGGGTGCTTCTTGGCATGGGCCTCCACTGTAAGCGCTGCAGGGAGAGCATCCAGAGGGCCAACCGAAAGCCAGCGAAGCTCCCTGGACAAAGCCGCCGACCCCACCCCCGCTTGACCGGGGGCGAGGAAGCGTGCGAGACGATTGGCTGTCCATCCTCCTCCGTCCCTTCTTCCCCCCCCCCCCTCGAGCGAGATGAGCGGTTGTGTCCCTTTTGTCCCCCGTCATCCCACCTTTTTTCCCCTCCGCCTCCGGCGCCCAAAAACTGCCGCCTCGACAGGACGCCGAAAGGGGGCCATCGCTCGGACGTCCATTTCCTGTGTTATTGTTCGGTTTCGCGCGTGGGTTTTTCGCCATATGATCAAGGATGCTCCCCGATGGTCCTCGCCAGAGGAAAAGTGCACACGTCCGAGCGATGCCGAGAAAGAGGGCCCTAACAGGACCCCCGAGAAGGGTGTCAAGAAGCAACAGCAAATACTTTCCATGGGTTTTTTTGAGTGGCTTCCGCGATCTCGCCTCCGCGGCCCTCTGCAACACGGCACGAGAGCCCCCCGGCTGGCCCAAGACGGACACCAAGAGGGCCCGCAGACGGCCCACGAGGGATTCACGACGGCCCAAGAGGCCCCCAACACGGTGACAAAACTGTCGAGAGGGCCCACCGAGGGGCCCAAGACAACCCTCATAGGAACCCATGGGGACCCCGGGTGCCCTCCCCCCCTCCACAGGATGGCCCCCGAGACCCCCAAAAATGTTCCCAAGGGGCCCCCGAGAAGGCCCCAGACGCCCCCCCGAAGCCCCTGGGGGTAGTGTAAAAGAAGCCCCAGGAGGCCGCCCCCTGGGCCCCCAAGAGACCCCCCAGAAGGCCCGCGACGGAGGCGGAAGAGGACGACGAAGCAGCCACAAGTGCATTCGGGCAGCGCGCCGGGAGCGCCCTAGACAGCACACACGACATCGGAAGCCACTCTTGCGAGGCGGGGATTTATCCATATCCACCGCCTGGGAACCGACGTCCTAGTGCCCCAGCGGGCCGTGGATATGGATGTACTTTGGCCCTCGGGGGCCCCAACATGTCCATATCCACCGCCTGCCGAGGCTTCGAAAACTGACCCTCCAGGCGGTGGTCCATGTATGAGTTCCCGCCTCGGAGCTCTCGTCTCCTCTCCTCGAGCAGCCCCAAACCCTGCGACAACTCAGCAGAGGTCCCCCCTCCCCTCCCTTCCTCGTCTCCTCCAGGTGTGGCGGGCCGCCGCACCTGGAGGAGGAGGAGGAGGAGGAGGAGGAGGAGGAGGAGGAGGAGGAAGAGAAGGAGGAGGAGGGGGAGGAGGAGGAGGAGGAGGAGGAGGAGGGGGAGGAGGAGGGGGCGGGGAGAGGCGGCGTTATGATGCATCCTCGCGGGCCTACCCGCGTCAATTCGGTGTCCACTCCATGCCGGACTCGCCTGATCCGTGTCGAGTCCGTATCGCTTCCGCGTCGAATCCACGCCAAATCCGCCGCATCGGATCCGCGTCGGGCAAGAGAAGAGACGCCAAGTCGGGGGTCCCCCGAAGATGCAACGTCGAAGGGGCGGGGGCAGGGCTGATGGAAGCACCGTCGAGGGGGCCGATACACCTCCCAGAAGCACCTCTGCCTGCTTCGCTGGCTGCCCCACTCGCCCCCCCCTAGAGGGCAGAAACTCCACCCCGACAAGAATCAACCCCGACGCGCGAAGCCGTTTGTAGCAAACGCACCCACAGAAAGAATCGATCAAACAGGGCAGGGTCGTTCAGTCAACGCCCAGGGCCGTTTAGCATCGGGGATCTTCTGACCCGGGTCAATCCAGACCAAGGTGAAACAGGCCTTGCAGAATCCTGCAAGATCCTGCACCCAAACCCGGGTCAATGAGAAAGATCCTGCAAGCTCCTGCAGGATCCTGCGCCCAAGCCCGGGCCGGTGCGCCCCTGGCCCTGCAGGATCCTGCAAGACCCGGCGCTCTGGCTGACCCCGTTTGCATCGACCCCCGTCTCAAGGCTCCCGGCCGTTTAGCAAACGCCGATGATCGGGTCCAGGTGGTTCTTCCTCCCTTGACGCCCCGCCCGCCAGCGGCGAGGAGGAGGAGGAGGAGGAGAAGGAGGAAGGGGAGGAGGAGGAGGAGGAGGAGGAGGAGGAGGAGGAGGAGGAGGAGGAGGGAGACGGATGAGGAGGAAGAGGAGGAGGAGGAGGAGGCGGAGGAGGAGGAGAGGAGGAGGCGAGAGAGGGCGGGGGCGCGGCCGCCGCGCCGCCCCCCCGCCCCCCCCCCCCCCCCCCCCGCGAGCGCGCGCCGCTCTCCTCCCGGCGCGGGTCTCGAGGAAGAGCGGCTGGCCCTGGAGGAGGCAGGGATATAGGAGAGAGAGGGGGGGGGGGGGGGGAAAAGGGGGATAGGAGATAGAGAGAGAGGGGATAGAGGAGATAGAGAAGAGGGGATATTGGAGAGAGCGAGGAGAGGGGGGGGGGGGGGGGGAAAAGGCAAAAAGTCCGCCCCGATGATAACCACCCCGACACGCGAAGTCGTACAGCAGTCGTACAGTACAGTCGTACACGTGCGCTTTTCGGACGTCTGCGAATGGGAACTCTGCGAGTAGTGTAACGCGCTCGGTGAGCGAGGGAGAGGCGGAGGCGCAGGAGGCGACGGACGACGGGGAAGCCAAGGGGGACGAGGAGGACCAAGCAGCGCGAGAACGCTCGAGCACACGAGGCGGCCAGCGGCGGCCTCGCCTCGTCGAGGCGGATGGACGACAGGAAGCCCACCGGGACGAAGCCCCGCGACACCTGGAGGGCGGGCAGAGGCCGCGGCACGCGGAGCCGCAGGAGCGCCCCCCGGGGCCTCCAGACTGCCCCGGCAGGACCGCCTCCCCTCTCCTCCTCCTTCTCTCCTCCTCCTCCTCCTCCTCCTCCTCATCCTCCTCCCCCTCCTCCTCCTCCTCCTGCTCCTCATCCTCTCCTCATCCTCCTCCTCCTCCTCCTCCTCCTCCTCTCCTCCTCCTCCCCTCCTCCTCCTCCTCCCTCCTCCTCCTCTCCTCCTCCCCTCCTCCTCCTCCTCCTCCTCCTCCTCCTCCTCCTCCTCCTCCTCATCTCCTCCTCCTCCTCCTCCTCCTCCGCTCTCCTCCCTCTCCTCCTCCTTCCTCCCCCTCCCTCCTCCTCCTCCTCCTTCTCCTCCTCCTCCTTCCTCCTCCTCCTTTCCTCCTCCTCCTCCTCCTCCTCCTCCTCCTCCCCCCCTCCTCCCCCTGCTCCTCCTCCTCCTCCTGCTCCTCCTCCTCCTCCTCCTACTGCTGGTTATGCCGACGACCTCCTCGCCGCCGCCCTCGCAGACTTATGGGACGCACGAAGACATACTAGTACTATAGGTTCTCCTTGGGCGCGCGCGTCCGACCCGAACATATACTGCACCCATATTGTAATGTATCGTTTCCCGAGCCGTGTTGCCAGAAAGCGCCCGCCTCGACACATATACTGTAAGATTTCTCGGTGCGCGCGTCGCCCCTTGGAGAACGACGCACATATAGTCTAAGTATGCTGGGGTGACGCCGATCGTATGGTGTTCCTATCGTTATTAAGGCCCACATTCCAGAACTTCTCTCGAGCACCCGGGAAGGTGTCGAAAAAATGCCGAACCATCGTCGAAATAGAGTCGAACGAGTGTCTCCCAGGGCCCGACACGTGAAAATCCTCGAGTTTCGATTTTGTTGGTGCTCGAAATTCTTTCGGGTGGTCCAGGCATCATAATCCAAATGGGGAAACAAACACTGGCATAAACACAATAACTCAGCGCGCGGATTTCTCGGATCCGCGCTGGACCCCCTGGCGGCGCCTCCCGCGCCGCCACTGGCGCGCTTCGCGCGCAAGGGAGGGCGGTCCAGCGCCGCTCCGAGAAATCCGCGCGGCCCTCCGAGTTTGTTATGTTTATGTCATCCTTCGTTCCCCTACACACGAACGCACCCCTGCCTAACTACAGACCGTTCTGGCAAGACCGCCTCCCCCCTCCTCCTCATATCCGCCGCCTTGCCCCGAGACGCCAATGCATGTACTCCATTCCACCAGCATTCATCGTCTATCCATTTAGGCAAATGTGGCGTGCGCCCTCAGGGGGACCGCCGAATTGAGCCAGCAGACTCTGCGGGCTCAATTCGGCGGGAGTCACGGCGGACCCCAAACCGAGACTCGCACGCAGATTGCGCAATCAGTGGGTGTTCGGGGCATAGCTTCGACGAGGGTCGGTACCACTCGTTGCAATCTGTGTCATGGCCATGTTGGCGTCTCTTGGCAGGGCAGGCGAAGTTGGAGTCTTCTCAGGTCCCTGGAGCCCTCCGTCCAACAGTCCTGAGGATTGATCATGTCGAAGGCCCGGACCACAAACTCAAGGATGTCCTCGGGCTTCCCGCGGCTTGCAGCGTGCCGGCGCGTGTTCTCGCTAGAAATTTCCCGGAGACAGAAAGGCCCCAAGACATGCAAAGAGAGCTAGAAGAGGACCTTCTGACGGTCCAACATAGCACAGAGACGACGCAAGAGCGCTCCAAGACCAACCAAGATGGCCTCAAGACGGCCCAAGAATCCCCCAAGACAACTCAAAGATGCCCCCCAATGGACCCAAAGAGACACAAACTATTGATTGACAATTGGCTTTTCATTGGTTTTAGCGGTCTCGCCGGTTTCCGACCGCGCAAGATGGCCAAAGAGGTTTCCGAGATCGAGCCAAGACAAAACCAGAGGCCCCAAAGAGGGTCCCAAGACGGCCCAAGATGGCCCCAACACGGCCCAAGCTGCCCCCAACATGGCCCGAGAGGGCCCCAAAATAGCCTCAAGGGGGGAAACCCAGAGGCGACCCTAAAACGGCCAAAGAGACCTCCAAGAGGTCATCCAGGAAGGCCCGAAGAGGCCAAAATCAGTGATGTTGCTGAGATTGTTGGACGAGTTTGGCATTTGACTCAAATCGGACTTGCGACGGCCCAAGACGGCCCAAGAGGCCCCGACGCCCAAGATGGCCTTCCCCTCAAGCGCCCCAAGAGACCCCGAAGACGGCCCAGACATGCTCACAAGACGGCTTCCGACGGCGTGAGACAGGCCAGGAACGCTGTAAGACTGCTAAAGCGGCCCTCGAGAAGCCCCCCAAGGTCCCCAAGAGGCCCAAGGAGGACCCCAGGAGGCCTTCAAGAGGCCCCCAGGAAGCTCCCAGGAGGCCCCGAGAATGACCCAAGCAGGTCCGAAGAGGACTCCTCATCCTTCCCCTCATCTTCCTGGTTCCTCCCTCTCCTCATCCTCTGTTTCCTCCCCCACGTGTTTCCCGAAGGGCGTCCAAGAGCGTGGCCAAGCTCTACCCAACTGTTTGGCCACAGTGGAATATCCTAAAGAGCAGGGAGCGGCGGTGATTCGCCGTAGGCTTCTTCGAATCTAATCCCCCTCCTCCTCGTGTAATTCGTGCCCGCCTGCCTCCTCCTCCTCCTCCTCCTCCTCCTCCTCCTCCTCCTCCTCCTCCCCCTCCCCCTCCAACTCATCATCATCATCATCATCATCATCATCATCATCATCATCATCATCATCATCATCATCATCAGCATCAGCATCAGCATCAGCATCATCATCATCAGCAGCAGCATCATCACCACCACCATCATCATCATCATCAGCATCTTCAGCATCATCAACATCATCAGCATCATCCTCATCATACTCGTCACCATCGTCACCATCGTAATCATCATCATCATCATCATCACCATCAACAGCACCATCAGCAGCATCAGCATGAACATCAGCAGCAGCAACAGCAGCATCGTCATCATCATCATCAGCATCATCATCAGTATCACCATAATCAGCAGCATCATCAATCATCAGCATCATCTCCATCTTCATCTTCATGTTAATGATCATCTTCATCTCCATCTTCATCCACATCTTCATCTTCATCCTCCTCCCTCCTCCCTCTTCGCTCCCTCGCTCATCGCTCATCGCTCTTCTGGAGGCCTCCTCCTCCTCCTACCCTTCCTTCTCGCGACCCATGCGCACGCTACGCATACTTACGAGGAGTCCGCACGCGCGAGACGCCTAAGGATCAGCGAAATTGGGCAGGTGCAGGAAAAAACGGTGGCTCGGTGGCGTGCTGTGGGGCACCACCTCGTCAACGCGAGGACAACACAACAACGCGAGGAACATACACCGGGTGCGTGTCGTGCCGACCCCGGCGTTGGTTTCTCTGACACCGCTTGGATCGTGCAGCCTTGAAAGATCGGCGGCCTTTCGATCACCAAGTCTGAACGGGGCCCCAGGACACACAAATAAATACACACAAATAAAAAGATTCCCCATATTTTCCTATAAGTTCTGCGTTTCTGTCTTCCCCCCCACTTTCCATATTTTCCCATATTTTCTGGGAATCGACGATTAATTGTGTCTGTGAGTTCAAAGTCAACGTGTTCTTAGTCGGCGTCTCGACATTGGGCGGAAAGGGGGGGAGGGCGGGGGGGGGTCTGGCACTGGACCTCTGCCTAATGCGACTGTTTGCAGCAGTGCGTCCTATGGGGGGAGAATCCACCTGCCTAAAACAGGCGCCAAAAACATCCAAGATCTACTCCATGGGGGGGGGGGAGGGAGGGGGGTGCGAGGGCCCGCGCCGATCGGCAAAACAGTGAATTACACAAAAGAAAAGCCCCACTCAGTGGATGGTTTTCGCTGAGGAGATCGACCAAGAACCCGGGAGCCCGGGAACCCATAACCCAACGAACTCGGCCCGGAACCAATAACCGGGAACCAGGGAACCTCGGAACCGGGAACCCGAGAACCCAGGCTGCTACCAAAATCGGCGGAAAACTTTCGCCAAATCTTTCAACTTCCGCTAAGACCCCTTCAGTGCAAGCACTGATTGGGGAATCAGGACGGGAGGTTTTTAACCCATTTCGGCCTCAAGGGGCCCTCGCCGGGCCTCGTGGCCATCAAATAACGACTCAGGATGAAAAGCCGGTCCCGGGGGAAGGGTCGGGACTTCCAGGACCCCGTCCAAGAAGAATGAGGACGTCGCATGTCTGGATCCACCTTGAGCAGAACGATGGAGGCTCCCCTCTACGGTCGGCGGTGGACAAACCTCCCTTTAGTAAACCTCCCCTTAGTAAAAACGGCCTTGGGCCGAAATCGAAGGACCTGGACCCGCTAAAATGACGGCCGCGACGCCCTCTCGCGAACCGTAAACGGCCAATTCCTTAATCGACGCGTCAGGGTAGGTCTGTCCACCTCCGATACGTTGAGGGCACTGGGTGGGGAAGCAGCGCAGAAGTCCGAGGGCAAACGAGCGGATCTGAAAACGGTCACCAAAAATCACCCCCGTTTGGGGGGTTCTGGGCCACGGGCGGCGCCCCCAACCTGGAGCGCCCGCGCGGGGAGCAGCGCGGCCGCGCCGGCACGGCGCGAACCTCTGCCGCGAGGTCGGGCCGGGCATGCCCCCCTGCAGGAGGATTTGTTTAGAGGAATGATACCGGAGAAAAGCCCCAATCATATTTTTCTGAAGGGGGACATGCCCGACCCGACCTCACGGCGGACATGTCCCCCTGCAGGAGGATTTGCTTAGAGGAAAATGAAACGCAGTCAAAGAAAATCAAAACTTGGCACAAAGCAATGTAAAGAATTGGTCGAACAATCGGCCCCGAACTATTGCTATAACTATGTTGAAGCGTTTTCCTGTAGAGCGACAGGCCCGATTTACCCGTAAGGAAGGGATCACTGACACTAAGGAGGAGGTGGGAAGAAGGAAGGCGGCAGGAAACAAGAGACACGAGACGATC